AAAATATGAATTAACATTAAGACTACAAAGAAGGTATTTATTTTTCTATAACCTGACCCTTTTAAAGTTGCTTATTTGTTGGGTTGTCTTGTCGTTCGCGCAAAGATGCACTCTTGGTAAACTATTTGACATATGGCAAGGGTTGTTGATCTATGACGATATTGGTAACTTAGTTATCTTTGTTGGGCGACCTCGGAAAGGTACACTCTGGATTAACAGCTTAAGCTTTTGTTAGATAGTTGGTTACAATGACGATATTTAAGTAATTTGAAGGAGTTTTTTGCCGATAAGGGCCACTGAATCTGGAGAAGGAGTTAGTCGCTTTTTATTGTTGAAGAAGCTTTCTCTGATGAAGAATAATGAATATTAATTTGAACTTTGGTTGTCAATGATTGACTATTTAATAGTAATAATCCGGAAATTATTATTAAAAGTCAATAGAGTAGTACTCCATTATTAACCATAGTTTTACTTACAAAAAAAATTTTTTTTTATTATACGTATATTAGAAATCCGAAGCAACCGAAGCGACCGAAACAACCGAAACTAGTAACACTGGACGATCAAAGGTTATATAACTGTTTTATTATTATTATTAACGAACTATTCTTTTTTTTTTTATTTATTTATTTAATAATAATATAACAAATATAACCGATTTTTAGAGAGTTCGAGAGGAACAAACCCCTGTTAGAGTTTTTAGTGAAGCAATGGATAGAGATCCCAACTCGATGTCTGTTGAGAGTAAGTTTAATATTACTCAATAGTATATTCTTTAAGACTAAAATACTTTGTGTTGTATAAATTATTAGACGTACTTGGCTCAGACGAAGAAGAGCAAATAGTTTGTTAATCGCTTTCTTTAATGATTTTATTTTTTTTTAAATTAAACAGTATTTAATAAATCTGCTTTTTTTTTTTTAATACTACAGATAACTTCTACTTTACCTGCCACAACCATTCCACCTACTGCGTCCTTTTCATCTTATTCGCCCATCGTGACCATTTCACCAATTGCATCTTTTCCACCTGTCGCAATTATTCCACCCGGTACATCTTTTCCACCTGTCACAATTGTTCCACCCGGTGCACCTGTTTTACCTGGTGCATCATTTCCTCCTGTTGCAATTGTTCCACCTGTTGCACCTGATCCTGTTACACCCACTACGACTGTTCCTACCTCATCAATTGATATGATTGATATTTCTGGATTAAATGATAATGTGATGGCAGATCTTGTTGCGCCGGCAACAGATGCCTTAAAAAGATCCAACGATATGGTTTGTTTGTTTTTTTATTTATTTATCT